TCCTGACGGCTTTTCTTAGAGCTCCGGGTACAGAATTTAAGCCCTGCAAGTAAAGCAAGTGGTTCAGTTTCTTTTAAGAGGATTATATTTAAAATACCATAAATAAAAAATTAATATGAAGGTGATTTTAAAACATTTAAAGAACGCAATCGTGAGATTTGTCTCCGAAACCAAAGACGTTAATATACAGATTATTATTATGCAGTGGACGTCGGAATGTTACGTAAAATCTGTAGGTATAAAAACCCATTATTTCTTCACTGAGTTGGTGATATCGCTGCATATTTTGATGAAGTCTTTTATTATTATTATTATTAATATTATTTACTTATTTTTTAACGTAACTTTCCATGCATTCTTCCTTGACTCAGCTTGATCAGTATAATAACGCCGTTTCAAGGCTGCTTTTGTTGTGTAAATTGGTGACCAAAAATTTAATGAACATTCATTCCTTCTTGATTAACTATAAACAGACATTACATAACAGAAGAACGTGACTCGTGTTCTTTGGAGTTTCAAGCTGCTGTACGAAGCCAGGCTTGTCAAAAGTTTAAGGAAAATATTGCGATTAGGGTCATGGTTCTACTGTACATGAATACTGCCATCTTTGCTTCAAAATAAATGATTCTTCAAAGACTCTGAAGAACTCCAGCCTTTAATAACGAAGTCGCCATTCTCGACACGAATCCGTTGGCCACCCACTTTTACAGTTCATCTGCAAAGGGTGAACCAGTAGCCATAAATCTGTCGCAAGTTTTCAACGCAACCACGCCCTAAGGATTGCATTCCATGTTTGCACCAATCTGACGAACGCAAAATATGATGTTCCGCAGCAAAGTATATGATGTATCTATCAACACCGTTTCCTAATGGCAGTTGCCTTCAAGCGCTTTGTGATAATTAATTAACCAATCAACCAACCGTTTCGTAATTTATTTTTTATAGTTAACATTTATTTAGGCTTCTGTTTTATTAATAGTCATCATAATTATTTGAACTATACTCATGTCTTTGCAAAATGAATCTCTCCATAACTGGGGTCAGATGCACGATAAAGAAATGTTAAAAAAATATGGAAAATGAATGCAAGACAGATGAAAATACTATCGGAAGTTGGGGGGGGGGAAGCTATGCTAAAAAATTTTAACGACTGAAGCATTTCTTAAAATTTGCATCGCCTAAATAATTTTTGAAGTTTTACACTTTCTTTTAGCTCAGAAGGGCTATTAATTTCGTTTTCACATTTTGCGTCGTCCACTGTAAAACGACATTTCACTTATCCAATTATCGCCATGAAATATTAGAGCCCTACATTACATTTAAAGAAATTAAATAATGAAGAATGTATGTATTTTTCTCGCATTGTGATAAATTAAGGGTACCTAGAGACATTAAATTCTTAATAGTGTAGTCCTTCACTCGAATATGGGCATCTAGAAGCCCAAATTTGGGATACGTTTTATTATCGACTTCATACTTTGTAAAACTTTGACGAATGTTTGATTAACAAACTCAAAGATTTCAAAGCGAGCAATGGCCACACTGTACGAAAAAAAAAAAAAAAAAAAAAAAAAATTATCTCCAGCGCGGGAGACTGTGTATCAGAAATTCTGAAAATATGCTTATTTTAAAATTAGTACTTTGCGATACTGCTGTTGAACTGAATTTTATAAGTGCGAAGGACATGATATTTAATAAATAAAGGTAACGCATAAAACATTAAAAAAGCGCCCATTTAGGTATAATATAAAATCTGAATGAAGATGGCAGAATTATTTAATAGTCGTAAAATACTACTAAAACAGTAGGGGTAGAAATAATTGAAAGTATTATATGATTACTAATCGCTAGAGCCTCACTTTTAATCATGCCGGCAATTAATCGATATTTCCTTCCGGATTCATTTTATGGCTAGCTGCATGAGATATTACAGATTTCCCCCATATCTAATGCAAGCATAAGCCAGTTTACCCTGAGATAGCTTTCACTGAAGCATCGTTTCCTTTAGCATATAAGCCTTGAATGCTTTGCTATAAATAATCAACTAAGAACCTTTAAAAAAAAAAAAAAAAAACATTTACGGTAATTTAGATGGATCTCCATCCCTATTCTATCCGTAGTAAGTCCACCCTAATTTCTAACCGATAAAGAGAACATGTCACCAAGGCGATCTATAAATTTAATATCTCTCGTACATAAGAAATTTTCATTTACGAATAAAATGCAGGGTTATTCATAATTTCGTGAAATATATATTTATATATTTTTTAATTCATAAAAGATAAATTACGCAAATGATACCGAATTTTCGTATTATTCAGAGCAAAAAAAACGGAGGCCGTTCCTCTTCCCACACTTACATTTTACATATGTTCAGTGTGCGCACGTTTGATGATGTTGTAGCCAATATACGATAGTCCGTTTCATCCCACTCGTATGGCAGTATACCACGACAAACAAGAGTCACAGCATAAACAATATGCTCGTCTAGCGAGGAGTGACGAAAAGAGATACTACATTTCACAGTTCTTCTTAAAGAGATACTATATTTCATAATTCTTTTTTAAAAAACTCACATGGAATTACATGAAGAGGTTTGTAGAATCCGAAATGTGGTGAGCTTGCAAACCACTGAGTAAATATTGATTGCAGAATGAGCCGGAGGCATATAAGCATTTCGTACCGCGCTACGCGCATAAGAAAAAATCCACCCTTTTGTTATTTTCGATGACATCACTCCTTCTACGTTTGGGAACGCCTTGACGTAATGATGTTTAGGGGGGATTCCTATAATTTTGTTTTCTCTGAAGGTATGTACGAGTGGCACCCTAGCGAGGGAAAATTTTCATCTTTTCTTTGAATAATACCAGAGGAAAATATTTACATGCAGCTTTCAACAGATGAACCTTCTGTTTCATGGAATGATAAAATTATAAAATCGCGGAAAGATGTTGTTAATATGATGAACAACCTTAACTGCTTGGATTAGATAAACAGCTGGTTCAGGAATTTAGTGCAAGAACCAAAACATATTGGATTTGATGACGATCTCTACCCAACTGTACAGCGATTGTCTGCTCGTAAGTATATTATTAATGTCCTTGTAATTATTTCTATTGCATATACATCAACATTTAATATATAAGATTATTATTTTATGCCATCGATTTCTTCGACAGAAACATAAAATAAATTGAAGGTATTATATTTTATCTTCAACATTATTTCATTTAAAGGGATCAAGCAGTTTGCTAAGAACCAAATCCGAAACAAACTGGCAGTGTTCGGGTGTCTTATTCACTGGGTTATTGGTGAGCAACTGTTAGTCATATTTCGCTTTTCTCATAGTATATAGATTATTAAAACTATATCAATTAATATTAAAACATTTTAAAATAAATTGACAACTGAGTGTTTTTCCACATTCTAATATTCTTTTATCTTGAATGGAAAAAAAAAGTATTCAGTGTTATCGTCCTTTTATACAAAGATTCAAAACAGATCACGCACTAGTAAATGGGCAATGTATTAAACAAGTCAGACATATGTATCTCTATTTCTCTTTCCCTAATCTGCAACAGTCTGTCCATCCACCTTCAAAATTCGCATGTGGCATGAAATGCTGGTTTTAAGATCAGGTAAAGTTCTTGAATTGTCACGACTTACCAGATATTTCAAATCTCCGCAAATACAAAAATAGCATGGATCAGGGAGGCCACACATTACGAAAGTGCCGGCTAATAATACGTTCTTCTGTAAAATGACGTTTAAGAATATTCGTAATACACCGTGCAATATGTGGAGGAGCTCCAACTTGTATAAAGATTGCAGAGACGGAACAATTTCGTTCTTTAACAGCGATGTATATCGCTGCCCGGTGATCGAGAATATCACTGGACCTGTAGAACTTAATTCCTAGAAAAAGTATGGGCCGAGAATAAATGATGCAGAAAATCGCCACCATACCGTCATTTTTGGTGAATGCAATGTAACCTCGAAGACAGGGAACGGATTTTCTGATTCCCAAATTCGGCAACTGTGAGTATTCACTACACCGCCAAAATGAAAATGCACTTCGTCTGTTCAGAGGATATTTTACAGCCATTCCAAAATCGACCTCAAAGCGAGCAAGAAACTGAAGTGAGAACTGGAGTTGAGCGAAAGCAACCGCTGCACTAATGAAAGTTTGTAAAGGATAACGGAGGATATTCCGCAAGATCTTATGGACAGTTGAACGGGGTCTATCCAGTGCCTCAGCTATACGCCGGACACTAGTGTTAGCCTGAACGTTTGAAGCTGTGTCCTCTACGACCTGAAGGGCAACCTCCTGTACTGCTTCTGCAGAAACGAGTTTTCTTCCTCTTCCAGGACGAACAGAAAACGATCCTGCTTCTTCAAATTTCGTTATCATTTTCTGAAGGTTTTTAACGTTCATTGGACCTCTTAGAATCCCCTTCAAAGTCCGAAAGTTCCGTAGAGCGACTACTGCGGAAGTACTGTTTTGGTTGAACAACTAATAAAGCACGATCTCATAAACTTATCGTCATTGTGATATGCACACTGAAAATAAAGTCTTCGCGTCTTATGACATCTGCTGCATAATGTCGACAAAGATTTGCATTTTTACTACAAGTTTTCAAAGTAAAACGCCCTATGGTGACACTATTTGTAACTAACCCCCCCCCCTCTCCGATGAAAGAAATTCTCATCCCTTCATTAAGTCCGCCACAAAATTTCACATTATTCTGATCACTGGTTTCTCTCGTAGGCAGCTTTGAAATAAGGTTCTTTAATTATAGACACCCTGTTTAACAATTAGCTATTTTTATCCGGCATTATTCTTAACTAGACGTATAATAATCATGCTTAGCCAAAGCCCAATTTCCATATCTTACATAGTTTCCAGCTGTCACATTTATAATGCATTTACGGAAGTTTATCCCCCCTTCTGCTCATGTAAAGCTCATACATATAAAATAAAAGAAATAGTTTCTAATTACATTATTTTTAATCTTTTGATCACATCCGGCTTCGAGTAAAATCCTTGTCAACTTGTTCCTTCCCATGGCTGCAGATATATGGAGAGCAGTATCTCCGTTCTAAGGAGGAAAAATAAATAAATAAATTAGTTAATAAGCAGAGTTACTAATAACACATATTTGGAATAATGAGAAGTAAAAATATTTATAAAAATGTATGCAACTGCATTTCAAATACGAAAATCTATTGCCAGCACATTTGTATTTAAAGAGTTTTGAAGTTACGACACCGTTCTTGAATTTAATTTCTGAAGATTTAAATCCTGAGAAAATTTTATTTTTTCCAAGAGGCAAAACTATTAATAAAATTTTACACTATTTTAACTTTAGTATAAAAATTAATAAAAATGTTTCACGTATTGTGTACATAATATTCGCAAATTTATTTTATTTCTAATATTCGCATATTTACTTGCAGAATACTTGTCGATCTAGGTAGCATTTTGGATGTCATGGCGAACTATTTTGTCAATGTAATGTCAAGTAGTCTATTTATTGTAAACGCATACGCGCATTTAACTATGATAGATAAAATGTAAGACACAGTGAGTAGGCTCATTCTATATGCATCATTCTATACGCATGTAACTATGATAAATTAAATAACAGAAATATTCAGTAAAGAAGGTTCGTGAAAGGAGCTTGCATACAAATTTAAAGTCATCACGAACACACAGCATGTGTAAAGTGATTCGTGAGAAACGTACACGGTCAGTTTTTATAATGTCAGTTAAGTACCTTCATATAGGTGTTCGGACATCTTGATGCAATTAGCCTTTCTGTCATTGCTGCAGTGGATGCTGCCGTCAAAGAAGACAGGCGCCGGAGGGTAGAAAACATTCGGCTCATGTTGCCCATTACCTCACGGTACCGCTCACGCCACTTTGATAGAGCATCTGAAGTTCCAGAAAATCTGGGCACAATGAATTCTCCACGGCCTGACGGAGGAGCAGAAGTTGAACAGAATGTCGATATCACTGCAGCACTTGGAACGGCGTCGCGATGAAGAATATCGTTTCCTGTCCCGTATTGTTGGGGGAGATGAAACATTGTCCCATCATTTTGAGACAGAAAGTAAGCGTGAGAATCAAGAATAGCATGGCTTTGATGGGTTCACCCCCATCAAAAAAATCCGAAGCCGTGCACGCCAGCTGAGAGTAAGCCATGCTGATCTCTTTTCTTTGACTGTAAGGGGCCCAGTGCTCATTAACTTTCTGGTGCACAGCACCACAATTAATGTACAGCGGTACGTGGAAACTCTGCAAAAACTGAAGCGCGCCATCAAGTCCAAACGCCCAGGACTGTTGGCCGACGGCATCATTCTGTTGCAGGATAATAACCCGACCACATGTTGCCACGGTTGTTAAGACTGCACTGTAGAAGTTTCGCTGGAAAGCGCTTACACAGCCTTCGTACAGTTCAGATATCTCCCCTTGCGATTTTCATAATTTGGGAACACTGAAGAAAACATTCGTGGCCGTCGATTTGCTTCGTACGAAGAGATGAACGACTGGATGCAATCATGGTTCCTTAAGAAACCGAAAACATGTTTTCCATTATGGCACTGGCTGTCTTGTATCACAGTGGGATAAATCTATTAAGAAGTATGGTGATTACTTTTGAAATAGTAAAGTTTACTTATTTTTTTCCATCTATCTCGTTTTCATTTGACTGCCCTCTATCTTTAAGGGCAGCCAGTTTCTATTAGAAAAAAATATATATACGGAGTCTTCCACACACATCTTGAAATGTTTTGTCATAATTAACTAGCCAGTCAGTTGACTACCTTGCAAATGGAAAAGCTTATTAAAGGAAGAATAAAACAAAATGCTTTTATCTTATGTATAAAATTTCTAGGAATGTATCCTGTATCTAACGCGGCTGTTTTTGAATAGCAAGAGGTGTGTATCTTTATTTATCAAATTAATTACTTAGCTATGTATAGCTCTCCTTATTTTATCTACCTTTTTCATCTTCCAATTATTGTCTGAATTTTAATTCTGTACTTTAAATGCAAAACTGCTATCAAACCGAGCGTGAGAGATGAAATAGACAAATTTTTTCAGAAATATTCTATCTTTAAGGGCAGCGTGGTCCAACTCGCGGGCCGCACGCGGCCCTCTTATTCATTTTGTTGGCACTTGCCCTTCTTTACTGGAAAAAAAATGCTAGTTAAACATTTGAAAAAAAAAGACCCTTCTTACTGCTTAAAATAATAAATATAAGTAAAATTAAATAATAAAAATTATAAGGCTCAGACAATGAAAACTGTTGTAAATATTGTAAATTTAATAAGGGGAGGCAAATCCCAAAGACACAGAGCATTTATTGCATTTGTGGACCATTTGGATGCTGAGTATGGTTACATTTCACTGTACTGACAAGTGCGCTGGCTAAGTGCTGGAAATTGTCTGCAACAGTTTTTTGGGTTGAGGAATAAAATTCTTGCTTTCCTCAAAAAAGAAAACATTGGGCACGAGTATCTAGAAAAATTGGAAGAAACCCAGGTTTTACATAATCTTGCTTTTCTGGCAGATTTGACAACCCATCTAAATACTTTAAACTTGAAACTACAAGACAGAAATCAAAATATATCCCAGCTTTATGGACATATTGAAAGCTTTCGGAAAATCTTAATCTAATGGAAATTGCACTGAAGGCAAATTATACAGCACACTTCCCTTTTTGTCAGCGGCTGAAAGAAGAAAATGACAGAAAGTTTAATATGTTTCATGAAATAATTACTGATATCAAGAAAGAGTTCCATGACAGATTCGAGGATTTTGATTCCCTAAAAAAAACTTTAAATGTTAAACAACCCCATGGAGATTGAAGTAAGTGAGGTAGGTGCCTTGTAACCTTCATATAAAAATTTGTAATCTTCAGGCAGATCCATTCTACCAAAAATAAAAAGTGTGATGTCACTGAACATTTCTGGAAACTGATTTCTAAAGAACGTTTTCCCAAGCTGCATAAATTCTCTTTGCAAATGTCATCGTTGTTTGGCAGTATATATGTGTGTGAAAGTGATTTTTCTGCTGTCAAACAAATTAAATTAAAAACGAGAAATCGCATTGAAAGTGCTTCACTGAAATCGAGCCTGAGACTTTGCCTTTCTGAAATTAGAGTGGACATTGATAACCTTGTATCAAACGAGCAGTGACAATCATCACATTGATTTCTAGACTGTAAAATAAAGTAATATTTTAAAGTAGTGATTTACATGTAATTCATTTTTTTTCTTTAATGTCTCTGGCCCTCACTTTCCTATACTAATGTTTGATTGGCCCTCGGGTAGCTAAAAGTTGGACCACACTGTTTTTGGGAACCAGTTTCAAGGGTTTTCTCCAATGCACAACATTTTACTCAGAGACACATTAAGGATTTTCTCCAATGCACAACATTTTGCTCAGATAACTTAGCCAATTATAAACGATATAGAAGATGACAAAAATTCTCTTCTGCCAATGCGAGCGGTAAACGACTTCTGCCTAGCACATTATTTCTGGAACATTTCCATTCAAATCGTTGTTGTGAAATTTTATCGGCTAATAATAGCTTATGTGTGACGTCAACTGCAATATAACAGTTTTTTTACGTGAATATTCTTTTCTTTGCTTAATTTTTAGTACTTTAAAATTTATACTTGAAAAATCATATTTGTAAGACATTAAAGCAAATAATGCCACAGCACAAGGGGATGACCTTGTAGCTTAATAGCATAACCTTATTTTTTAAGAGATTGAATTAATAATGTCATCGATTACAATTATTCCTGTGGTGCAATACACATTTTGCATTCATTATTTTGTTCAGTAAACTATAAAACGAAAAGGTAACGCAAAATAATGCCTCCCAAAAATGCAAAATGAGGATAATTTTTCATAATCGGATATAAAATTAGCGCTGCTATTGAAGCCAATATTAAAAATATTTCTTTCTGCAGTTGCCACTCACCTTGTTTGTTTCATTTACATTGCAAAATGCACTGATTAATATCCTCAGGACCCCTGCATGGCCGTACCTAGCAGCCGTGTGAAGTGGCGAATCACCATACTGCTGGAAAAAAAGAGAGAAAAATTAAAATTTTCGATTAAATTAGCAACTTATAAAAGCTTCCTTGTGAAGTATTATACGTTCATTGTCAGTATTCGTAGATAGTATACAGAATGCAACAGAATAAAATTAAAAATACGAGCATTTATTTAAGTGCAGCTTAAAATTCTAAGATAAAAAAATGCAAGCAAAAATTCTAACTAATTTATAACAATTCCTTAACTCTCCATCTTAATTAGGTTATTTCTCCTTTCTGTCCTAAAAACAGTAATTGTTTATAATAAACCTCTCTAAACCGCATCATTTTAAAATTAATAGCCACCATATGACACTTACATAAAGCTCATGACAGAGATAACTTATCTAAGGTTTCAACCAATAATAATTTTTGAAGCTTGTAGTTTTACTTTATTTTCCTAACAGTTATTTTTATTTTGGAACAAGCCCTTCCTTTACCTTCTAATTTCAGATCTACATTTCCCTTTCAGAATGAGTTTTTAGTATTACGATTTATCCAAATAAGGTAGAAACGCATATTTAATCTGAGGTCTGAGTTACTTCAGTAGCACAGCGTGATGTGCCTTTCAACCACGTTGCTGCTGTTAGTTAAAGCTTGGTATTCTATTGCTGTACGTGCCTGTTAGTATACCGGTGATCCCTACATAAGGGCTAACTACATGAGTTTGATTTTGTGCAGCTTCGGCTGAAATAAATCTAGCCTTAGTTAATTTTATATTTTCTATTTCAAGTTAAAGCCCAAGTGGGGGCTTCTTGTACGCCCGAGAGGGACCATCTGTTTTAAGTTAGAATAAAAGGGTATTTCAGCCCTTCTTTAGAGTTGTTACTTATATATCAAGAACTCAGCGAATAGTCGCTACGTAGTTCTTCAGTATTCTAACTTTCTAAGAATTCTATTTTAGCTAGGATATTACAAGCTTAAATATTATTCAATTTCGATAAAATGATCCAAAACTAACTCATTTGGCAACCATAACTTTTTCAAGTTGACCTAAACTTTCCTCTTAGATACGTCGCATTTTCATTGCATTTCTGCCCTGTTAACCTGCTAGCGCTTACTGTTTCAAATGTATTTAAAAATTTTATCGGTATCAATGCAGTTCTTCAAGAACAGACGCTCATTGCACTCGTTGTGATATGTAATTTATTTTAAAAGTGATTCTTAAGAGTAAAGAAATATGTGTTTAATTGGCCATGATGGCAAATATCTAAATCTGCTCTTTTAAATTATCTTCTGTTCCCATCACTGTGAGACAATTAATTTGAAGGCTTTGAATTCAAATGCATATGAATATCGGTCCTTTAAAAATATTTAAAAACTCAGTTCTAAAGCAAAGCATGTTTGCAATGAATCGAAAATAATTTTTAAAGAGAAGAAAACATGCTTTGTCAGTTTTCCAACAGATGCCACACATAGATCGTTACTTATCTAAAATATAGTCATATCAACATACACTATTTCGAACATCTGGCTTGCAAGCAGATAGAAGAAGAACTCTGCAGCACTGATTATGTCCATTTTGGCAAGCGAGATGTAAAGGCGTAAATCCTCCCTGAAATCAAGCAATAAAAGCATTAGTATTCTTCAACAATTCCAAATAAAAAAGAACTTAGCATATGGAAGGAAACTCTATAATTTATATGAACGAAAGATACTTATTTTTGGCTGAATACAATGATATAACAATTGGATTTAAAAAATATAATTTTATGACAAGTCTAATTAAATTTGGCTATATTATAATTAATACATTTTTCACCGCCGTTTGTAGATTTTCTGTAGCTTGGGATTATTTAATGTAAGAGTGGTCTAAAATTTAATTTAAAATAGTTTTCTTTATGATATGATACAAGTACTAAGATACAAAGCTGGAGTAACAAACTGTCTAAGTCATGAACGAGAAACACGAAGTTGAAGAACTCGGGGTATTCAGTTATAAGCAGCTGGCTGAAGATTCCGATATGACAGAGAAAAAAATAACTTCAATGAATCTAGGAATGAAAGATCTGCTCTGATCGGCATATTGACTATCAGCATATCGTTGAACCAGGGCTCGAATCTCCTAGAGGGCTCGCATGTTTGTAAGTGTATAGTGTCTTAGCGGAATGGAGGCATTTAAAATACTGGCGGGCCGAACATTTGGTGGTAGAGCAAGAGAGGTGGGAAATCCTTGGATCTATCCTCAGATCCTTGGATCTATTCTCCAATCCTTGGATCTGTCTCCATTGAGATTAAAACGGAATTCGGCAATTTCATACCGTCTCTTATAAGGGGCCAAGGCCGATGCTTATGGAATATTTGTAGTGACGCTCCAAAGCAGGCATATTCAAATGTCCTTTGACGACAGTGTGGAGCAGATCCATAGAATAACACCGACAAGTATGTTATTAGGCACGTAAAATTGTTTATGTTAATGTTCGCTTTTCGGAGTATAGTTTGAAGATGGTACATAACGCTACCCTGCGCTTTTCACTATCCTAAAATTAGTTAGAGGACTTGATATAATGTCCTGACTTTGATCTGTGTGTGAGTACGTCCTTGTCAGACACGTCACAACACACACATACTGAAAGGTTGATAAAACTATAACCAACTACAGGAAGATTTATAATTGTAAAAAAAAAAAAAAAAAAAAAAAAAGAGAGAGAGAGAGAGAAGTGCAGACATCTTTTGTTAAAGCTATTGCTACGGAACATTTCAGTTAAGAATGCCAGTTGCATTTACAGACGGTTTTAAGAATATTCGGTTATGCCCCATTTCAAGATTTTCCAGATGAAGCTTTCTTGGAAACCGCCCCATAACAGCCTCTCTCGATTGAGTAGGTGAGAGGAGTTCCCATTTTATTCTTCCCATTCAGGGTTAGAGCTGAATCCGGAAATCCGGAAATGTGACTAGAATTTACGTAACTGTGAAATGTGTATACGACAGTGATTCTCGACCACTGTGCCGCGGCACTTCTGTGCGCCGCCAAATTTCAGAAATGTATATAGTAAAAATTATAATGGGTTTAATCCTAGTATACGGTACACATGGGAATTGGCGAAATTCGGTTTTTAAGACATTAATAAGCTCGCCAATTGTGGTATCCAAGTCGCTTTTGGTGCCGAAGACTTCTGTATTTGAATTAACATTGAGCCGAAGAGGAAGAACTAATTTCGCTTTCTAATAATCGAAATTTTATTATTAAATATTCGGAAGAATCAATTAATTCATTTTAAGTTAACATTAGATGCGATTATTCCATGATGTCCAAGAAAGCTGTAAAAATATTATTACAGTTTTCTACATCTTATTTGTGTGAAATTCGGATTTTCAGTATTAACCAACATAAGAACGAAAAAAAGATATATACTGTTAAATGTAGAAGATGATATGAGATTAGTCATTTTTACGACCAAATATAAATGAAATTATCAAAAACATCAAGCTGAAATTTCTCATTAAAAGTATTCTTATTATTAACTTGTAATTAATACCTTAATAAACGTACTACTGCTTTTGTAATACATATTATTTTATTTTACATTCAAAATTATTATCATAAACTATTTTACACAGTGAAATAGTTTAATGAAAATTTTAAGTGATGCTACTGTCATAGTTTTGTAGAGACATTAGGGTTTTTTTTTTTTTTTTTAAGCAGGAGACTTGAAAAATTAGCAACGCCTTAGCCGGGAATCGAACAACGGACCTTTCGAATACGGGCCCAGCGGACAGACCACTACACTTCGAAGGCACGGTAAGAAGGCGGGAGAAATACCTTATAGTTTTTAATAAAACAGTTTCATTATTTTATTAATATTTTAAAAATATGCGTTTCATTGTGAACGAAATGTTAAGCCATATTTAAGGAAATGTTTTGTTTTTTGTTCAACCCACCTGCTAAATAGAGTCACTATATATTCAAATAGAAGACATTTCTCCCTTTTCCGGCTGCAGTAAGTATTTTCTCTTCTACTTAAAAAATTCTCCTTTTTTCAGTTTTCCTTCTTAAGCATACAGTTTATTTCGGATTACTTAAAAGTAAATTTTATTTTTGAAATTCTGCCTTCAAAACAAACAATGAGAGGATTTTCTTGCTAATAAACATTCGATGGCGAAGAAGCAGAACAGACTTAATGACAGTGAAATCAATCCAGGTAGGCACATAACAGAATTGAGCTACGCTCCCTTTGAATTGTTTCCTAACTATGACGCTTTTTTTTAATACTTTTCCATCCAGAATACCTGCAGAAAGAAAGAAAACCTTTAAACACCGCGATTTTTTGTTGCTGCCTGCACAAATTTTGATCTGGAAATAGCTGAAATGAGACAACACGGAACATTCTAAATTCCTATTTCTCAAATTGCTGACTCTTCATCTGCACCCTCGTCCTTCATCTAACGATTATTCATTATACTATTCATACTTTAAACTACCCCTGAAAGCTGTAAAATATAGGCTTTCAGATACTGTTAGTACCGAGAAAGAAACAGCATACTGATCTTTTTAATATTCCTTTGTATAAATAATTAGTTATTTATGTACTGTTTTAAGGAATTTCCTGTTTTTTCGTGTGCCTTGTTATGTAAAATTGGTAGCCCATCCGACTAGTAGTGTAAGGACCGGAGATTAAACCCCGGATAGGGCACTGCTGAATTTTCGTCTTTCGACACTGTTACGGAAATGCTTGACATGAGAATCTTTCGATTTAGAAAAAAGTTTGGAGACACCAAAGAAGAATGTTCGTAAAAGATGAATACCTACATAAGATGCTTACGAATGAAACATACTGCTAATATGGGATCAGTGTAAGTACGACTCGCTATGTAGCAGCAGTGTTGAAATACGTCTGAAGTCGATCGTAACGCCTCATACAGAATAACAGAATCCAGCTCATATGAATGGTAACAGATGGTTAAAGTCAGAATTACATTTTGCAGACTAATGAAATATCCGGATACCAATATCTTCGGATCCCTGAGGATATTTTATGGAGTAGAAGATTATTGCAAGGAACACTGTCAAACAGTTGAATCTCGCTAGCTAGAAGAATTTGAGAGATTTATTTTATTCTAGGGAAGACTTGTGTCACTAAAGATGTTATATCAATCGCCCCCCACACATTTGCCATCGAATTCAGAGCATGCGATTCTTTTATCCTGAAAAAGTTTTAAATAAATGTAAATTAGAATTATACACACAAAAATTTACTTACGTTATTTTTAATATACACGTTAGCTCTGTGCTTGCATAAAATTTCTAGCGTCCGACTGAAGCCTTTCCAGGCTGCTTCATGAAGTGCCGTGTTGCCATGCTGTAAAAATATTTTTTTTTTAATTATCGATTTATAAAAGTGAATAATCAAGAAAATATGTGCATGGAAATTTTTAAAATTGGGGTTTTTTAAAATAAATTTTTATTAATTGAAATTTTTTATTGTTTTTCCTAAGATGAGATCATGTAATAATTACTAATCTTTCCACTCAATCTTCTTCTGGAATAATCCTGGTTCTAATGCCAATTATTAAAATTAAAAATCGTTTAAGCAAATATGATTTTTTAATTATATAATATTAAAAGCCATTCTACGGTCGATGATGCATAACAAATGATGTATAAAAAAGATCCGAATGTACTCGTCATTATTATAAGGTACTACGAGTATAATTTGAAAACGAGATCAAAATAATTACTGTTGTTAAATTACCAATCTTAATTTATTTAAAGCAGCTTCTTTTAGAATCTACGCTTAGTGTTTTGTATGATAAAATACACAGAATGACTCTTAACAACCATTTAAAGCTGCTTTTCCTAAATTCTTAGCTTTATGAGTGGCAAACACACCATAAAAAAAAAAAAAAAAAAACACTCTTTAACAGATTTTTCGATTTTGAGAAATAGGAAACAGTCATATTAAAACTGCGTCTCGAGAATAACCATCTGTAATAATAAAATGCAAATCGGTTTTTAGCCAAAGGCTATCGAATGGTACCAACTTTGTAACTAGGGTCATTGCGGTTAAGAAAGCCGCGCAGTCGGTATAGTGGTTAGCATCGCTACTGCCGTGCCGAAGGGCCCGGGCTCGAATTCCGGAGAAGGCATGGATGTTTGTAAATGTATACTGTCCGTGCCGCGTGGGGGCACTCTAAATATGCGACGAGTCTTCTCGAGAGGCTGTTGGTAGGGGAAGAGGGGTGGAAGACCCTCGGACCTGCCCCTCGGGGTGCTCTCTATCAAAATTGGAGGCGGAACTGAGCTAAATCGCACTGTCACCTGTAAGGTGCTGAAGGCTGTTGCCAACGACAGGTGTAAACTTGCGCTCCTTACCACGATGAATTTCGTGGACTTGGGCTGACTATAGGTCAGACAAGTGAGCATTAGAAACAACAACATGGTTAAGAAGAAAGAAGCCAGTCATATTCTTTTCGATAGTTTGTCTTTACATGATGCATATTCTAGCACAGGCATTTTAGTAGCCCAGCAAAATGCAGCAGTAACACTTCGCCCGCTCTTTGGGCATAAAGTTCATAGAAATGAGTTGGTATTACTTTGATTCTCATTTTCGATCGAAGAATATTTGTTTCGCTTTTAAGGGTTTGGTTCATATTCGTTAGGCATTTTACACTTTTCATTCAAGGTTAGATCAAGATAGTCATGTACTGTCGGGTGTTTTTAGTTATTATTTTATGAATTCCTTTCAAAGAAAAACTGACTTATATTCACGTTATATATGAGAAAAGCAACGGAACTTCCCATACAGCCAGCTCGCTGACTGGAATTTGAACCTGAGTCGAATTACCAGTGTCCAGCGGCTTTGCCGCTTAACTCCTCGTCGGCTAACCGAGATATAACTTTGAAAACAGATACTTAAAATTAAATTCTATTTTCTTTTCAATTTTTAATTAATAGATTATACTACACCTTTTGGATCATACTGTTAATCATGTACGCGGTAAAACAGAATTTGCTATCAATCTTTCATTTGCCTTTAATAATATGTACATATAAATAAAAAAAAACAAGTTGCTTAATACAGTATTAAGTTAACCAATTTAAAAATCATTTTGCATGGGCTTTACAACACTATTTTGCAACTAATATCATTTTATATTACAACTATCACAAGCAAAATAGATTTTTAACACTTTTTAATTGGCCTACAACAAAATTTCTAACTATTCCCTTTTGTGTACGCTATCACTTGCACTCAGAATGAAACAAATGCTTACTATGGAATTTTGTAGTAATATATAGATTATAAGCGTTCTATTTGTGATGCTATGTAAATAATAATATAATTTTTGATATTTTGAATTATATATATATATATAATCCGAAAACATTTTTAATTTTAGTTTTAGTTTTATTCAAAGGCAAAGATTTGTTTCCATTAATTAGCAGTAATAAATATTATTTAAGACGAAAAACTAAATATGAGTAACTGCTTTTTCATACTTTTTAATCACGTATAGTTTCTAAACTTTTTATGGTAAACTCTCCGGTAAAAGATACTATAAAAGGTATTATTTGTGTTTTCGGATTGCAAGTTTTTCCCTTTTTTCCAATTTTATTTTTAAACTAAAACTATGAAACCATAAAGGGATAATATACCTATTTCGAAGTTCGTTCACTGGATTTTCTCGATATTTTCCTTTTTAGTACTAATGGTTTTTACGAATAAAAATTTATCTTGCTTTCGAGTCTTTTTCTTTTCTCCTCCGCCGTTTTTTTATTAGCGTAAATTAGTTTTCAAGTAATATTTTGAAAAAAAAAAATTGTTTAGAAAAAGTAAAAAAATCCGAATTTATCATATTGCCATTCTAAGGAAACAAACATTTTCCGCTTGGTTGAGATTAAAATTCTATAATTGTTATTATTCTACCAATCTCTCGAAATTTTGTTTTGCGTTCTGAGACTGCTGTTCCATAGTTTTCTCCATCCCTTGACATAAATATTTCTAAATAAAACTATTTACAATTCTTCTCAGCTTCTTCAACCGTTTGATTTATTTTTATTACAACTGAGTGACACAGTAAACAAAATTAAGAGCTAGTTCTTATCTGTTCTACAGCAAAGGGAAAAGAGAGTACTTCTCAAAGCAACGAAAAATTATAAACAGGAAAATATAACAACATCTATGTAAATAAGATGTAAAACATAAAATGCAAAACTGAAAAATAAGTTCTCAGGACTCTGTTTTGAAAACAAGGTACACTTCGTTTCAAACACCTAATACTTTTCACAAATACTCAGTGTGAATTATAAAAAAAAAAAAAAAAAAAAAAAAAAAAAATCTGAACTGTTTTCGAGTTTTAAGTATAGAATAGTGTTGATACTGAAATTCATTGTCCTTTAGAAGCTCTATAGTCTCGACACCCCTCATTACGCAAAATACAGGAAAATGAAGTGATGCGGGAAGAACTCAAGCGTAAACTTTCACCACTCTAATTGACTCCATTATCGAGTGTTGCCACGAGAAGCGGAAGAAACTGAAAAATAAACACACGCATTTTATTCTTCTTACCAGTCCTTTCGTGTAGAACAATTCTCAATGGACTGTAAATTAACTGCTCCTTAAACACCTCAAAGATGTACAAAATAAATAAATAAACAAACAGACACAAATGACGTTTCAAAAAGATTGCTCAACTAAATATCTCTTAAACAGCTGGTCGTTTTATAGTTCCTGTTAAAGAAATAAATCAAATAAAAAAGCTATCATTTATGAAAACTTCGATCGTGTGACACTGCAAACAAAACTATGGAAAATTTTAATTTTTGTAATGCACTTCTAGAAGAAAGTTCCAGTTATGAACTTGTTTCTTATCCTGTTTTATTGAATCCTAAGGAATAACGAACAGCTTTTAAACATTAAAAAAAAAAAAATTCATTTATTCCTTCGATGATTTTTTATGAAATCCCACAAAAAGAATTCTTAAATATTTTATGCATAATCAAGATTTATTAATAAAACACCACTGTTCAGTTTATAAAAATTAATTTTAAAAAAATTTCGAAAATGTATAGAATGTTATAAAAACGCTTGTTTGTGAAATCACTAATAGAACAATGATGTTAGTACTATCATGATTTAAGATTAAACTTTTTTTATTGTGAATATTTAACAACGATGCATCGTTGTTATAGACCTTATATTCGAACAATGCTTTAAGATCGAATGTTCCTTCTCTGGCGTATCAACAGTATCTCTGATGCTAATACTTGAATAATAATTGTAACATCATTTTTGATTATGAATTTTTCTGCAATTTAATACATATCACAATATATCGCATATATCAGTATAGTGAAACAGGCAAATCTCTCTTATTTTAAACACATTGTGCCCATAAAGGGGAAAGTGCAAAATCACCCACTGCTTGGCGCGTTTTTAAGAATTGCGCGAACTCGGTATCCACGTACATATCGACCTATTTTCACTTAAAAAAAATCACAGAATTTCACAAACTCGGCATTGCGCATTCCCTTTGACCATGTACACATCGATCTATTTTCGATAGGTCGATATTAAAAAGTCAAAGGAAATTGACAAAAATCCAATTCTTCTTACTCTTGTAAAAAGCGCCAAATAAGTGGGCGATTCTGCACTTCAGCCGTGAAACTCGCATGTTTCTGATTCTCTTTCTGCGATTCACATATTTAGTTCTATTTGATTAAAATTAGGTTGTTTTACCTTTTTGATTCACTACAAATGAGCTTACATTTATTTACGATTAATTTTTCAGACAGTTCAAAAATAACTCTTAAAAATATTAAAAACATCATATTTGCATTGCGTATATATAATTTAAAAAATTATTTTGCAACCTTTTTGTTGTTTTCAAATGTTACTTAAATTCAAATCAAAGACATCATAATTTTCTTTCTTAACTTTAAAACATAAAGTCTTATTTGATGAACTGCTATAGCTTAATTAATATACTAAAACAAATGTATATGTTTTAACAGCAATACGGAGTCAGTGGCGTAGAGAGGGGGGGGGCAAGGAGGTGTATGATGCTCCGGGCGCCGCTCGCAGAGGGAAGCCAAATGATTTTAAAAACAAGATTTCTCCAACAAAAATGATTTCTCCAAACAAGATTTTCATCATATCACTGTGTTTTTTTCGAGGGGGGGGGGCGCCAAAAAGGTATTTTGCCCCGGGCGCCAGTTACGCTTGCTACTCCACTGTACGGAGTTGAAAGTAAATAGTGAAATTTAATCGGAATGATTTGAATTTTTGATAGAAAATGATCCGATAATGATCGTCAGACATCATCAGAATCGTTCCGGCATAAATGCAAAAACACAGACGTTAAATATCGTGACTGAATTTAGGGCAGAGATCATTGACTGCATTTAACAACTTCATTTAGTACGCATTTAGTAGTTGCATTTAGTAAGTAAATTTCAACTTCACATTTAAAATAATGCAAAAATTTGAAAGAGCCCATTTCTTTCCAATAGTTTCGAGAAGGAAAAGGTTTCTTATAAACATTAGCGTGGTTTGAAATTAAACTTAAAATTGGGAATAAAAATAAGACAAAGCAACAGAATGAGCACGCACACAGTCCATATCACGGCATTTCGAAGCTGATAAAATAAATTACAACCTAACTTTATTTATCTTAGCACAAAATTACATTCTCTTTGCATTCTTCGTCTATTCAAAACAAGGTTAAAAAAGTTATCCCTTGGCAAGTTATATCTCACTATTAATGGCCATGGTGCTTGCCTGGGAGGTATCTTACAAAATGTTACTTAAAAAAAGAAAAAAAAATTGCTTTTGAAATGAGCGACTATGCATTTAGATATCAAAAACGATTACGAACCAGTTCATCCTGAGTATCGACATGACATCCATTCTTGAGCAGAAGCTTTACCACTTCTTCGTGACCTTCGGTTGCCGCCTGGTGGAGAGGACTGTAACCAGCCTGAAAAGAAACATAGAATGAATTTCGTCACGCAATCCCAGTGCACGTCCATTCTACAAATCATTCGCGGCAGCTAGGATCTTGAAATTAAGATCAGTTTTTGTTGCTGTTTCTTCACCTTTTTTTGTGCTCCCCAACGAAGGGCAGCTGTAGGCTGCTGGACGATTAACCCTCGATAAGTAGCTTGCATACATAACCTTTGACAAAAATGTAAATGTTGATACTTCAAGTAGTTGCTTCCAGTTAGTACAGAAGTAATGGTGGAATTTATTCTATGGTTTTATGACATGATATATTATAGTTCATTGAATATCATGTGAAGTTGCTTACACTCTTATGAAGACATTAGGAATGATCATAGCCAGGAATGGACTCGATTGTTGTACCACCTCTGAAAAGCTGTCCATAATTTTAAATCTTTTAAATATTCAATATTAACGTATTCAATTCGGATGATTTAAGAATTTTAATTAAAATTCTGGCTAATACATATCCCTTGGCAAGTTATCACCAAACTACAACAAGGTGGCGCAACCACCTTGTTGTAGTTTGGTGATTTGTACAGAAGAGACGAATGATGACTCATAATGGCAGAAAAATTATTTATTCCAGGCCTATTTTATGTTTTAGTTTATCCCGAAAATCAGCCAATAAACCCCCTACTTACATACATCCTCCCATTTTAATGTTAATTTCGTTGTCATCGTTTTAAATTCAAAGTATTCTTTCTGTGGAAAAATGCGTATTCCTGTAAAATTATAGCTCAGTTTCTTCATTCACAGGCAAATGCCAGAAGTACACATTTTAAATTGAGCTTAAGACAAATAATATCATTGTTTATCGACGCATAAGCCGTTGGACTTGAAATATAATAAAAAGAACGCATACCAAAATGGCTGTTTTCTCCTTAAAACTAAGGAATTGTTATGCAAATGGTGGCTATTCTGAAATCAGCTGACGCCATCTGAAAATCTGGCATCTTTTACTGAGATGGTTTTGTTATAATATATAAGTATCAGTTAATGAGTATGAATTCGAAGCCTTCTTTAAAAAACGTTATTCATAGTCAATTAAAAGGTAACAGACATACCTCAATAGTGAAGGGGATTCTGCAGTCTTGTTCCACTTAGAGGAAAGACGTATTTACAGAACAATAAAACAAGCAATAACTAAAATATAAAGTCAAAAACTTTAGTTTAATTTTATATATAATGCTTTTTTAATCAGAAAAATACGTTACTTCAGCTTATTAAAGGGGGAAAATGATGATACAGATTTTAATTATTTACACAAATGCCGATAATAATTACAAAACTGCTAATAATAATATTTTCATAAGTCAACTAGTTGTCAAATTATTATGTTATTCCAAGTCAATATGCTCTGCTTAATATGTTGGGAGGGAGAAAAATGTTGTCATCTTGTAAACCAAATGTTTTTAGTTTGATTAAAATAAACCGAAATGATATAATCAGAAAATGTATTCATACAGATAAAAAATACACAGATTATTGGAGCTGATTACTGAAGTAGTTTTATGTCTTAGTTTCCAATAGTACCAAGCATTTCCACTGTGACTTGATATCTAACAGAAATTCTTATTCGGCAAGAAAAAGTTAGCGTCTCTGCTATCTTCTCTACATATAATAAAAGAAAGAGTCTGTCTGTATGTGTGTGTCTTTCGTTCGCTCTGAGCGTAAGCTAATAGATCCACGGCTTCGAAATTTGGTACATAGGTGCATCTAGACAAGAGCCAGTGCACCTCGAAGTGATTTTTTCGAAATTCGAATCAGAATTTTTTTAATTTTATGTTTTGTGACGAAATCGCGTCATTTTGAGACATATGGGCTATAGGAAAGCGAGATTTTACTCTACACACTCCATTTTCACATCGTCATGAAAACGTAGGGCACTTGGCTATTTTACGAACTTAAAATAAATTTTCGTGTTTCAATAAATCGATTATATACGAATTATTTAACAAAGGGAGCTTAACACCTTTTCAACGGGATTTTTTCTAAAAAGGTTTATTTTTAAAAATGTACTGTTTATTTTTCTTTGATTTTTGGACACGTTAAACTTTCATCCTTGCGACTGCTTTTGCAAAAAGAATTTTGGAAAAATGATAGTATTTTGTATTCTTAAAATTTTTTTTAAATGAAGCTTCCGTGTACATTTCTCACATCTCACATCTTTAGAAATGTGATTTTGGCAACAATTTCCTTTCATATTGTTGTTGATAGATTTTTGATGAAATCACATCATTTTGAATAGTTTCATTCTTTTAGAAATATAGGTTTGGCAACAATGTTTCATCCTATTTCTTATGTCACTGTTTTTAAGAGATTGGCATATTTCATTGTCATTTTTTTATATATATAATGCATTTTTATTGATTTTTTTTATAAAGTTATTCGGCAGAGAATTCTACGCGGAAGTTTTTGTTTTTTGAGTTTCTTTCATGTTATTTTTTGCTTATTTCACTATTTGTAAGATATTGAAAAGTTTTGCACGATTTTTTTTCTTCAACGGAAAGTTGGTTAATTTTTTTATTAGGATAATTAATATTTGTATTAAGGGATATAGCTTATTTCATTGTAATTTTTTTCTTTTCAAAATATAAGATAAAATATCAATAATTATACTTTGCTTTTCATAATTTTTTGTTTTTTGTTATTTATTGCTCATTTCACTGTCTTTAAGATATGAAAAGTTTTGAGTGATTTTTTTAGGAAACAAAGTTCTTAACCTCCTTTATACCATTTGAGTTCTTAAGATTTTGCAAAGGGAAGTTGGTTAATTTATTTATTAGGATAATTAATATTTGTATTAAAGGATATTGCTTATTTCATTGTAATTTTGTTATACGTAATAACTTTTTTTTTTTATGAAGTTGTTCTGCAGAGTAAATTTCTACGCAGTTTTTAAATTTAACGTTTGGTGTTCCCTTCAGCCATTTTTCCGGTACATTTAAAAGCCAGACGAAGGCTGGCAGCGAAGTTGCTAGTTCTTAATAAAAATAAAAGTAAAATCGAATAAGCAGAAATATTCTTTGCTTAAATTCCACTAAAACAGTTCTTCTTTGTAGGTGAAAATACTTTTTTTTATACGAAAATGTACTAGGTTCGAGTCGAGTGTCCTCGCGTCTCCTGTTTAAAAAAAAAAAAAAAAAAAAAATGAAATGTTTCAGATTTTAAATTACGTCCAAAGGGGCGTTTTTTAACATTTTGTGTGTTACCTTTTTTTATTAAATATCATGTTCCTCGCACTTAAGCCATAAGATCCAGTGCAACAGCAATATCGCAAAATAGTTTTAAAACGAGCATATCTTTAGAATTTCCGATACAGAGACTCACGAGCTGGAGATAAAAATGTTTTTTCTGCACAACGTTGCCATTGCTCGCTTTGAAATCCTTGAGTTTGTTAATCAAAAATTCGTCAAAGTTTTAAAAAATAGGAAATCGATCATAAAACAAATTTCAAATTTCAAATTTGGTCTTCCACATGCTCATATTCGTTGGAGGATTACGTTATTCAAAATTCGATGACTCTATGTACCGTTATTTTATGACAATGTGAGAAATATACATACATTTACGCAGATTTTCATTATTTAATTTCTTCAAATATAATGCAGGACTCTAACATTTTGTGGCAACAGTTTGAAAAGTGAACCGACATTTATCCGTCGACGCAAAATGCCAAAACGAAACTAATAGTCCTTCGGGATTCAAATCCCTTTGGACTAAAAAAAAAAAAAAAAAAAAAAAAAAAAAAAAAAAAAAAAAAAAAAATATTGTCTCTACAATATATTTAATTCTTAAGATGTTACTAGCTGTAATTCTTAAGAAATAAGACTGAAAATTGCTAATTGAGCAAAAGATGATTTGCTTGCTTTATGCATGATAATAAAGAATATTTAAAATTTACATACCGGTCTCAAATGAGAACATTTACAAAAATAATTATTTAAAAAATTTATTCTTCAAATTTTTCGGAATAATTCAGTGCAATATTTATTTTATATCTATATACATATACATTATATGCATATAATTCAAAATCTCTAAAAAGTCAGAACGAAAAAGAAAATGCCGCATTAAATATTGGAGGAAGTAAAAGTTTAAGGGTATTTTGACTTTTAACTTTTTTTAATATATAAATTACAGTTAATAATCGAATTTAAAATTAAAAGTAAATTTTATACGTTATTAAAATTATTCTTTCTGTACATCAATTTCATTTCGGACTAAAAATGGCGGGAGAAAGAGGGGGAGGAGCCGACTATGATACCCGTTACCGGATGGCTAACTTTCGCATGACAAAATACCTGTGCAGAACCCTTATTTTTTAGAGGATAAAAGGCGAAGGTTAGGTAAAACGGAACGTCCCCAAGCAGCTGGTACACGCGTCCTATTTTCTCCTCTCGAAGTACCGGAAGTTTTAAGCAGATGGAATAGCGCAATTTGTGCTTCACTACTATACAAAACGTTTCCTTTTTGTGTAATATGCATAAAAGTAACTTTTAACAAATTGTAACTGAGTACACATATTATTGGGGAATTTAGTCATTAATTGCAACAAAAGATTTATATGATTGCAACCCTAAAAAGAAAATAGGAACCGATTTAAGGAAAAGCCTATAAATAATCAACACAATTTTAAAAAAATCATTAATTATTGTTACAAATACTGCATTTATGTAGGAAAAAAGTTTCAAATTGAAACTTCAAATTCCAAATTAATGCTTGAAAAGCTTCATAACCGAATGTACACTTTGTCATATGAAACGCGAAAGATAATAAAAAAATTGGAATAAAATTCTTTTTATAGCAAGAAATATTTACTTATTTACGAAACGGAAATTGTAAAGACATCAGATTTTGCTAACTGAAATTTAAGTATTAAACTAGTAAAAAATAATATAAATATTTTGCTTCCCTTTTTAAATGAAAATGCCATTCATTGCAGTCTAAAGGCCACCCAAGGAAACCAAGCTT